CTTTTTCATCCGAAAATTGATTTTTGCTTCGTTTTCTAGTAACACATTCAACTTATTATAGGGTTGTAGGTAATGCAACAGAATAAATATTAGTATGTGTTACTACTACTTATTACTAAGTGCATGTTCTAGCTAATAATTTTGACTATTATTAGGGGAAGGAAGGTGACAAATATGAGCCAAATTATTTGTCAGTTTTACACTAATGGTAAGGCATTTATAGTTAATTTACTTATTATAATTGTAGTGGCTGTTGACTCTTTAAATTTTCCAAGTGATTTTATAACAACTTTAGTTGAAAAGTTCCTTTCGAAGCTGAAAATCATGGCACGAAATTGATACCCAATGAAACACAAACGTCACCAAAATATTAATTTTTTTAAAAAACAAATGATTGCCTTACCTGTAACCAACAGTGTCTTTTTCCAATTCATGCAAAAAAATATAATCATTCTTCACTAAGCAAGCTAGTTCAAGTAGACATGAGAATTGATGTATAAATAATAGCACTATATCAGCTTTTCTTTAGTGTATTTGTTGACTCTTTGAGCCAAATTAAGTAGAGACAGTAGCTGCATTTTCTCACTAAGAGAAGAAAAAAAATGTATAATCCTATACTGGCAAAGAGCTTTAGCAACTATGAACGTAAAACATTTGGGTGTGGTGCTTTTATTGTAATCTTGATTATTGTGTTTAGCAGTTGCATGGTTTTCAAGCCTCATTTGCCTCCTCTATCTGTTAGTAAGTCCTCTGCACTTTAGCCATCATTTCCAGTAGTAATATTCTAATTTTACCTCTGTTAATAGCTTCATTTAGCTGATTTTACACTTCTTTTTTCTAGATGGTGATGCCATGAATTTACAATTATCTATAAATGCTGCTGAAGATATGCTGGTGACCAAGGACACGACCCTTCTCAAGAAATTAGGTTAGTCGACATACTAATACCCTATAGAATTCTTGAGGATGGGTGCACTATTGTGAAGAGGTAGATTTAGAATTTACATTTGACGGGTTTAATTTTAATTTCTTACCTTGAACCCACCACATTTTTAAATTATAAGTTCAAAATTATAGGAGTATTATTTTTGAAATTTGAGTGATTTTCTCATATATATTTGTACTTCGTATCAAATACAAGACCGTCCGGGTGAGATTTGAACCGCCAATTTTACTTCTAGAGATGCACCCAATAATTATTGCACCATAAGAGTCGTTGACCATGGGTGCACATATATATATATATTTAAGTATTTTTAAATAAATATAATATTGTTATACATGGTTTAGGAAAAGGAGCATGGGTTCACGTGAACCCACGCCCCTTAACCTAGATACGCCCCTGCTTGTTAGAATATCCCACATTGGATTCGGGGATTATCTGTTATCTCCTTATTTATGTTGAGTTAGAATCAAGGTTCATTTTTCATCACACGAAACTCATGAAATTTGAAATCCCAAATTCTTATATTGACATTTAGATCGATGAAACCATTTTGCAGAAACTGAGAAAAAGGATGCTAAGCCAATGTGTAATGTCTTAGAACCATTGTCTGATTACTGTGAGACTAAAGGAGACATAAGAGTCCAAGGAAAATCCTCAACAGTTTTCGTTGTGTCACATGATTTCAACATCTCTATTGGGAACAATTCATGGACAATACAACCTTATCCAAGAAAAGGAAATGCAGGAGCAATGACAAAAGTTAAATCTTGGTCAATAAAATTAGTAGACGACGGCGAAAATATCCCAAAATGCAGTATATATCATGGCTATCCAGCAGTTTTATTTTCACTTGGAGGATATTCAGGGAACCATTTTCATGATTTCTCAGATTTACTCATTCCAATCTTTTCAAATTCGCGACATTTTAATTCAGAAGTGCATTTTCTTGCCACGGATTACAAATCTTGGTGGATAGGTAAGTACAGGACATTGCTCAATATGTTGTCTAAGCACAAAATTCTTGACATTGACAATGACAACGAGGTACATTGTTTTCCTAGTATGGTAACTGGCCTTAAATCTCACAAAGAATTCAGCATTGATTCCTCAAAATTCCCAAATGGGGTGTCAATGCGCGATTTCAGACATTTCTTGAGGAGTTCATTTTCTCTGACGAGAGCCGAGGCCATTAAATTGAGCAAAGATGTTGGTAAAAGGCCACGGTTGATGATTATGTCAAGGAAAAAATCGCGAATTTTATTAAATGAGGGTGAAGTTAGAAAAATGGCTGAAGATTTAGGATACGAGGTTGTCCTAGCAGAGGCTAACCTTAGTACAAATTTGTCAAGATTCACGCAAACTGTTAATTCTTGTGATGTTATTTTGGGAGTGCATGGAGCTGGATTAACAAACATGGTTTTTCTCCCAGATAATGCAGTTTTAATTCAGTTAGTTCCTTTAGGAGCAATGGATAATTTGGCTAAACGTGATTTTGGAGATCCAGCAGGAGAAATGAACATAAGGTATTTGGATTATAAGATTGGTGTAAATGAGAGTTCTTTGGTTGAACAATATCCACTTGATCATATTATTTTCAAGAATCCATCTTCATTTTATAGGAAAGGATGGGATGCATTTAGATCAATTTACTTGGATAAACAGAATGTAAAAGTTGATATCAAAAGGTTTAAGTCCACTTTGGTAGAAGCTCAACAGCTTCTAGCCACTTCTTGATTTTGCATTATAGTGTACATGTTTCAATTTTTGCCCATTGCGTATTGGCATTTGCGTAAAGACTTCTCTATAACAGTCATCGTCTGTAACAATACTTCACTATAAAGATCAAGTTATCGTTGGAACCAAATTTCAATGTTATGTTATAATATATGTTATCAATGAAAACACTTTGTTATAGTAGCCGAAAATATCGGAGCAAATGAGGTTATTACGAAGAGATTTGATTTTACTGCTCCTAATTGTTTAGTAACATTAACTGAAGCTGGTACATTAATCGTGACAAGTGTGATATTGAAAAAAATTCAGCTAAAAGGAATCAATTTAGATATATGATAATTTAGCTAATTCCTTATTTTGTTTTAATTGATGAATATCATGTGCGATGTTACATAGAAGCCTTAGCGGTGAAGAGGATTAGAGGAAAAAATAATTACAAAGATTATAAAAGAGTATAATAAAAAATAGTATATTATAGCAGAGGATGAAAGTATAAGGGACAAAAAAAAAAGAATAATTAACCAAATTAGTTGTTAAAATCTTCTGGAGCTTATATATGCTACTGCGACCTAACATTGACTTGTGCCCTGATCAATTAGCACGATTGTTTTTATGTGAACGATTTAATAAATGTTCAGAAAAAACACAAAGGAATATTCTGGTAAAAAATGACGTCACACACTCGAATATTATGTTTATTTATTTTGCTCCAAAGAAGTTGAATTATTTCAGAAACTATAATTGGATTCTTCACCACACTTGTCTATAGTCCAGAAGTACCCAACTTTTCCTCCCAAACGTGCATTCCACCATATTTAGAGGAAAAATATTGGTAAAATGTCACACTCTTAAACCAAACAACTTACTTGGATCATTCAACATTATTCCACTGTTTTCCTTTAGTAATTTTTTCTTTTCTTTTTATTCTACACAGCTAAAGAAAGTAAAAAAATCAACTTGATATCAACAGTTAAAAATTTTATCTATTGCTAAGATCATTTGTTTGCTGGTTAGAATTATGCATTTATTAGTAATGTAAATATATCCATAATTTACTCAACTAAGACAAACTCAATCCAGCTAACAACCGACATTTGCATTACAAACACGCTTCTAGTAGTGGTTCGCTGAAAACAATCTTTTAAATGGGTTTGCATACATCATTATTTTATAAGATTTGAGAAAATACAATTATATCCCAAGTTACAATCTGCATGATTTAAATAGTTGGGATTTGCCTTTATTTCTAAAGATTAGACAAATATATTAAGGACAGTCCGGTGCACTAAGTTCTCGATATGCGCGGGATCCGGGAAAAGGCCGAACCATACGGGTCTACCGTACGCAGTCTTATTCTGTATTTCTGCAAAACAAATACATCTAATTGTAAACGAATGGGAAAACGAAATTCCAGTTAAAAGGAACTGAATACAGAGCAATGTAACTACTACTTCAGGAAGTTTATGTGGAGATCTGGACTTCTTAATTTTCACTAATCACTCTAACTCTCTAAGTGTTCGTTAGTGTACGTAGAGAAAATAGTAAAAAGGAATAAAAAATTTGGAAAAAAAATAAAAAGTTGCAAACATAATTATGAGAATAAGTTTATTTGATCCATTCCATAATTTACGCACTTATTGTTAGACCTCATTCTAGGTTAATTAATAAATAGCACTTAAGCAACCATTAAAACCCACTTGTTCACACTTGAGCAATAAAAAGATGGAAATTTAACTCCAGTAAGAGAAAATAATGACCCAAACTCGTATCGTGCATTAAAACCCACTTGTTCATGCTGAAGCAGTTAAGCAAATTTAATAAGTTCTTGCTATTCTTAATATAGTGAACAAGTAATTTCTATCCAAATAAGAATATGAATGCAAATCTAATTACCTAAATTGAATAAATTAAATACATGTTAAACTTTGTTAATAATTACCCAAAAGGTAAAAATGGACAAAGTCTTAATGATATTTACTTAACAAGTAGATTTGGTAAAGTGGTAAGTTGCCGTCCTTTCTAAATACTCCTCTAAACATGGCTATTAAAAGGGACACAATTTTTTGACAAATTCTTCATCTAATCTAAGTAGTAGTCAACCTTTATATCTCTTTCAAAGAGAACAACAACATAATTTTTAATTCACAAAAATCTCCTAAAATTATGCAAATCGTGGAGAGCAATTACTCTAAATCCTCCTGCACTTCATGCTAGTCACTTAGATATTGGACTTCTATATATTCTGAGAATTGCAAATACTAGCATTTTCTCACTTCTTCATTTCAAAGCTTTTTCTTTTTATATTACAATTTTTAGCAAAATGAAGTACGATAGTTTCTTTGCGAGGAGTTTCAGTAAACATGAGCAGAAGAAATTAGGATTTGGAGCATTTGTTAGTTGTTTTATCATAGCAGCCACCTTTTGCATTCTCTTCAAGCCTGAATTTCGTCATTTTAAAGTTGGTAAGTCATATAATTTACTTTTTTAGTAATTTTATTTTGAAATCTTTACGCTGATATAGAGGAGATTGTATTTTCTCTTTTCCTTTTCAGAGTGAATTGCAATTTTTTTCTCTCCATTTCCTTTGTAGTCAAAATCTAAGTGTTCGTTAACAATTATGACTTTCTATTTATGCATGGCTCTTGTTTACTAGTTGTTTTATTACTTTTTTAACGTTTATAATGAGCTCTTGAAACATTAAGTTTAATGTAAGATTAAATTTCATTCACCTTGTAAAGATTACATTATATTGTCAGTAGATATAAGTTAAATTCTTAATGTAAAAGGTATTATAATGTGATATATTTCCGAGCTGAGGGTTTACCGAAAACAGTCTCTCACCTTACTAGGTAGAGGTAAGGCCTGTGTACGAACTACCTTCTCCAGACCCCACTTGTGGGATTAGACAGAGTCTATTATTTTTGTTGTATAAATTTTTGTATGTTATATACAAAAAAAATATACAAATTTTATACACTTTTGCGGCTATTGGATGTAAATAATTTTAGCCACGGACTAAAAGTTGCCCTTATTAACAGTGTTATGTCCTTGTATGACAGTGAATGTTAAGGTAACTCTTCGTGGTGACCCTCAAATTCTAGCAATAAAAGAGGAAGTCAGTAATAAGCCCAAAAAAACATGTAAGTACCAAGTTAATACTAGCATTTAATTCTTTTTTTGCAAATAACCAAGTTTACATTTGTTTAATATCTTACCATACACATAACTATTTGATTTCAGATGTTGAAATAAAAGAAGAAAAAACAATTTGCAATGTCACACATCCAAGAGCTGATATCTGTGAAATGAATGGTGATATAAGAATTCATGGAAATTCATCAACTATTTATTTTGTTTCAACTGATAAATTATCAGCTGAAATGAACAACTCCTGGAGTATAAGACCATATGCTAGAAAAGGTGACAATAGAGCAATGGACAGTGTCACAAATTTAACAGTGAAAAAGGTTTATAGTAATATTTCTCAAGAAATTCCAAATTGCAGTAGAAATTATACAGTTCCTGCTATTGTTTTTTCAACTAAAGGATATGCAGGAAATCACTTCCATGATTTTACTGATGTGTTAATTCCATTATTCCAAACTTCGCGATATTTCAACAATGAAGTTCAGTTTCTGATTACTAACATGAGGTCGTGGTGGATTAACAAGTACAAACCAGTGTTACAAAGATTATCAAAGTATGAGATTATTGATATTGACAAGGAAAAAGAAGTACTTTGTTTTCCAAGTATGATTATTGGCTTAAAAGCCAACAAAGAATTCAGCATTAACACTTCAGAATCTCCTTATTCTATGAGTGACTTCACAAAATTCCTCAAAAATACATATTCCTTAAAAAGAAAATCCGCGGTGAAGTTGAAAAAGAATGCTGATCAAGGAAGAAAGGTTAAACCGCGACTTCTTATCATTTCAAGAAGTAAAACGAGGCGTTTTACTAATGTGGATGAGATTGCTACAATGGCTAGAAATATTGGATTCGACGTAGTTGTTGAAGAAACAGGAGAAAATCTGGCTAAAGTTGCAAAAAAAGTGAACTCATTTGATGTATTAATGGGAGTGCATGGTGCGGGATTGACTAATATGGTATTTTTGCCAGAAAAAGCAGTTGTTATACAAATTGTGGGGTTAGGAATGGAATGGGTGTCTAAAGTGGACTTTGGAATTCCAGCTTTGGACATGAATTTGAAGTATTTGGATTACAAGATTAGTGTAAATGAGAGTTCTTTAATTCAACAATATCCAGTTGAACATCATGTGTTAAAGGATCCTCCTGGTAATCTGATTTCTCCTAAAGGATGGGTTAAATATAGGAAGATTTATTTAGATCAACAAGATGTAAAAATTGATGTAAATAGGTTTAGAGGAACTCTTTGGAAAGCATTTGAGCTTTTGCAGAGTTGATTTTTTTGGGAATTCTTTAATAAACAAAGGCACAAGTACAGGACAACCTTCATTCGATTTACTCTTATTTCAGTTTTCTTTTTTTTTCTTTGGTTCAGCTTAGATAGTCTAGCAAAATTTTCGGTTTCATTCTGCTTTTCAACGAGGCTAAATCTAGATGACATGTAGTTGAAGTCAATTATGTAAGCTAACGAGAAGGGAAAATAGTCATTGACTTGTTAATATGAAGTATATTCTCCTTGCAAAAAATTGGCCAACTTTAATTTGGTGGAGTAGTATGTCAATTCCAATCATATTTGAGCCCGTTTGGACATACAAAATTTTTCCTTTTTTCCAAATTTTTTTTTTTGAAAATAATGTTTGGTTATCAAAATCTTGTTAATTTTTCCAATTTCACTTGAAAATGCATTTTCAAATTTGAAAAATTGATTCTTACCAGTTCTTCAATGGAAAATGAGAATTTGCTAGTTTTTAATTTTACAAATTTACCCTATACTTTTAAAATTTATAAAATGACCCCATCAATTATTAACCTACATGTTTGATAACAGTGGTAATAGCAGTGGGAAGCGGACTAAGTTAGAAAATGTGATATTGATTTTGCATCTTCTGTGTATTGCAGTAAAACAGAATATGATAACAGTTAAACAATAGCATGTTTGATTGTTTATTTCAAGTAGGATAATCAAATTGGGGTGGTTTTGATATTTTTTTACAAGTTGTGAGGTATAAATCATGTTTCATGATTTTGAAAAAAGACATCCAAATATTTTGCAAAAATTTTAACCAAACACAACTTCATCTTCAATTCAAATTTTAGTGAAATTCCAAATTTGAATTTTTTTTTTGGAATTCATGTCCAAACGCCTATTAATATTTCTTAAAAATTTTGCAATTTCAAAATGCCAAAAAGTTATTACTGCTAAAAGAAGGAAGTTTGCCTCCCCCAAAAATGAAGTAAAAAAATTGAAGAAGTAAAAAAATAGGAAAATAGACTCATATAGTGTTTTCAGTTGAGCATTTTTCATCTAATTTCGCTTTTTGTAGATATATATATCATGATCTCCTATTTAATTAATTTATTTATCAGGTTGCCACAACCTTATCAAATGGCCTTACATTCGATCAGCAATGAAAATAAGGGATTTTCACATAGTATAGCCGCCCTCAAAAGAATAGCTGGCAAGTGTATATTTTTAGAAATATCATCAAACGGAAAAGTAAAGCAATAAAAACTCATGTAGCTAAGATAATTCATTGAATATATATTCCAAATAATTAATCAAATCCCTTTCTCCTACAGCAAAAAGATAATAGTATCCGCATCTACAGATTGTTGTACAGAGTCACAGGGAACACTTTTGACAAATCTGCACCCAAAACTCCAAAAGGACCCCCAGCGATGGTGCATCTCAGTGAAACTGGAGATGCACCATCGAACTGTAATCATTATTGAGAATAAGAAAGCAAATACTTTCTTAGACATGGGATTCTATATATGATCATTCACAAGTCTCTGTAATACAACTCTGTATTTGGTGTATAACTCTCCATTTCCTCCAACAGAACCTTCCTCATGAGTTATAATGAATGAGAAGCAGAGACATACAAGGAATAAATATTAGTGTGTACCCTCTGTACTCCGAGGCTGGGCTGATCGTTCAGGTCATTGCACATCTGCCATCTAAACTAGGTGGCGTTCCTCTTCTCGGGGAAAGAAGAGATCAATTGGGCCAAACTCTTACTTGATAATGACTAGCCTTTAGGGCAGGTGTGTTGGATAGAGAATACAGACATCATGTTGACCACATAGTGCAGTGAATATTTTTAATCGTATCACCAAATAGGAAGTTGCCGTATTGACACATTCCTCTCACATTGCCAATGCATAAATCCACTAGCTTCCTCGAAGATTTTCAGCAACCCTCTTCAAAAATGAAGGTCCAATAAGACATGATTATATACACCCTTCAAGCTGCATCTTCTTGGCCAAAAGATACTCGGTCTCTATTCGACCAAGAAATATAATGCCAGCAAGGACCTCTTCATTCGCGGGACTGTCAGGTTAGTGACCCAAGACAATTACCTCCATTTCGTACTATGAAGTTGCTTTTTACTCTTGCTTTTCTTCAAAAGTGCTGACATGTGTTCAACAGCCTTAGAAGACGACTGTGTCTCACCAGTCAACCACTGCAGAGCTTCAGCAGCTGCATCTTTTTCAGCGTCCTTCTTACTACCGCAAGGCTGACCAACAAAGTTCAACCCATTGAATATTACAGTGGAGCGGAACTTATTATTTTTTAGTTGAGTAGTCTTGTAATTGGGTGATTGGTGACCAGCCCGAGCAAGCAATGTCTGGAGATGAGACTTTGGATTTTCACCACCAGTGCCCTCTGTTGAACTGATGCTTTTTTGCAACTCCTTTGTGGACTTCTTTGGGGACGGTTTACGACCAAAGACAAACTTACCTTCACATTGATCCTCCGACACCAGCAATCTAACAGCTTCTAATAGCTCACCATGACTGCCTACATCAAAATTACGGTCCAAAAGCTGCCAGATAAAACAAACATCAGGCGAGAAAGAAGGATTTGTCATATGCACCCACTTATAATATGCTTTCTGAAGAATGCATGTGATACGAGCTATGCGAGCAAATAGTCGATACCATCAGTCACACAGTTGACAGGAGCAACACTACAGAAACGGCAACAATGGAAAACTCAAAAAGAAGATGGCACAAACAAAGATGGCGACATATACATACTTTCTTGTGGACAAGTTCATTAAGCTCCCTCTTCAAGCTTAAATAAGTATTTGCCAGTGAGGGGCTCATGAAAAACTCCAAGTACCCTCCAAGCATCATCAAGTATCCATCCTACCAAGAGAAAGGAGTAATTAAGGGAAAACCAAACACTAATTAGTAGAGATACTCATAGAGAGGATTCAAGAACATGACAACATGAACCCTGTAAAACAAAAAAGAAATCAGCCTCCTCCCTGCAGGAAGGGGGGTGGGGGTGGAGGTGGGAGCAGGTAAAGTCAGAAGAAAGAAACTTACTAGAGCTCGTCCAAAAATGCTTCCACCAAACAAGAGTAGGACAGAATCAGATACAGCAGTAGAATCACGCAGGAATACTGCATTCACTTTAACTTTTTCATTGAAGACAAGCCATGGATATGGGATTTGCAGCTCTTGGGCATTAACAGAATTCTAAGTGGAAAAAGGAAAAGCATTATTTAAAAAATGGGAACTTTTCCTTTGGAAATTACATGAAATGTGTCACAATTTAAATAACACTAATTATACTATGAAGCTTACAGAGTACAAAAGGACTCCACCATCCTCCATTGTTTTCAATGAGATTGACCTCTCCTTGTTCTGTCAGTAAAATATATGTTCAATTAGCACTCAAAGATACAGGAATGACGGGTCGCCATGAGATTCTGATAAATACATAGGAAAACCACTCAATCCTAACTCAACAATCACCCAACTTTTTATTGAAAAAACTTTACAAAGATGGAAGTGCAACCATGCGTGCAGTGAGAGAGAGCGAAAAATTTTAGGAATCAGTATCATGTACAAGCCAACTTCTACTTCGAGTAAATACCAGATGAAGCGCTAACCTCAATCATCAAGAGTAAGAAGGGTTGTTAAATCAAAGAGCATAACTCACCACAACAGAGCATATGCCAGGGAATAACCCGCCACATATAATTGCTCGAACAAGATGTTCATCATTACTCCAGGCATTACAACTCTGAAAGCTATCAACTAGACCAATTTCCTTGAGCAGATGCAAAAATTGCTTTCGAAGGGAGTCCATCGCTTTGAGAGTTTGCGCAGAAAGGAAATTTTTCCAACAGTACTCATAACCAGATTGCTGCCTTTCAGCGTTTCTCCAGCCATCATAAGCCCGAACAAGAGCAAGATGATCACTGAAGTCACGAGCAGAAAACTGGGCTTTGGCAGACTCAGCCAGCTGCAGAAAATATATTTCACAAAAATTATACATACTCAGCCAGCTGCAAAAAGTATATTTCAAAAATATTATACATACTCAGCCAGCTGCAGAAAATATATTTCAAAAACAGTATGCATGTTCCTCAAGGGAAAGAGACAAAGCGCTATAGGGAACACTAGGTGACCAACGGCTAATTAAAGAGGTTCCACAAATGAGGAAAAAGATCTCAGTTCCAACATCGTTTCCAAGCACTAGGATAAAGGAAGTGCAAAGGAGAAAAGTACACTTTAGCAAGTTTGGGATAATATAAAGAATCATGCAACTGAAATAGTTTCTTTCCAAAATCCATTGGACTTGTGGAAACTTCCCAAGCTACTGCTTATAACTCGATATGCCGATGTCCTTAAACTACCAAAACTCGCATGAGTAAGAGTGCAGTCAGTTCATGATAGGCCCTTCCCCCTATCACATCTTCACAAGACCAACTTTTCCTTTTAGAATATTGTTTAAATTTCGCAGCTAGATTCAGCACACACCCTTGTTGTCAAATTTACAAGGTAAAACTATATTGTCAACCAAGTGTTGTTTTTTTTTTGGAATGAAGAACTTAGTGTTTTGTATTTTGCACATTGCAGTAGCAAAGACCCCTATTCCTAAGCACTAATGGTGTTAAAGAAAATAAGTTCATTTACATTTTACAGTCCCCATAACCAACTGGGAAATGTTGGCAAGTAGTTAGGTGATAGACCATTATTCCCTTGCACTGATGCTGTAAAAGAAAGGGAGCGACTTTACATTTTACAGTCCCCAAACTTGGAACATATGCAACTGAATATCTGGCATAAAGGGAAACAGAAGCAACTTTTGAGAAGCATGCACATAAAACGTATTAAATCTGTTGCTCATAGAAACAACGCACAGATATTCCTCAAGTAAAGAAAGAGATAAATGTACTACTGTGAGAAAAGGACAGAATATGTTCACATGTTTAAGACATTAGTTGAGTCGCTCTAAGAAACAAGAAGAAGATGGTAAGTTCTCATCAATAAATCAGAGAATATTAACTTACATCTTTTTTGTCAAATGGCATTAAAAATGGGTCTCTAACACTTAAACCAGCAACAACTGTCATAATTGGATCCAGGCAGTTGAATACTGCACCTAATATTATCATTTTTCCCAGTTTTGGTTCAACTGGAAGCATTGATAAGTGTTGTCCTACAAGAAAATCCAGAAGTCAAGTTTTCTTTTCCCCCCAAAAAAAAGATGAAGAAGACTATGGAGAAATTGCTGAGAGATTAAGAAAAATCAGCTATGCTTTTACCAAGTACTGTCAGATTTTCATTCTCATCTAGAGCCCCTATTGTCTTCAGAAACTCAACAGCATTTTGAACCTGCAAAACAATATTTGCAAATACATAAAAAAATCAAATTAACCACAAAGCAATAAAGATATATGTCCATCAACAATAAAGTCAAGGAGCCAGAATTGTCAAACAAAGAAGTATATCTACCAGACAACTTAAATCCAGGTTTGGTTGAAAGAAAGTCAGACATAACATATTCTTCACCTAATAGGATGTACATGCCTCTACCTCGACGTGTTTTCATGAGCAGAATGTAAAAATAAAGAAAGTTCAGTGGTTAACCAGTCTAACGCTCAGAAATGATGCCATATGCACATATTAAGTTGTTCAGTGTCACCATCCATTTAAGGCATTGGAAAATTTGAACTGGAATGTAGCAAGTTCATCAAATATAACATAACATCCCTCCTGATTATCTCCACCCCTCAAAGACAATCTAAACAATTTCCCCCCATTTTACTTGCCCTCATTTTCAACTTCCACTGTCACAAACAACCACACATATTCAACAAACTGGGTGAAAGAGTCCACCTCAACTTACAGATAGTGGTTCTGGTGGCTGCAATGCCTTAGATAGAAATTCTGAAATACTTCCAAGTTGTAAGCTTTTAATCTGCAAACATAGGGATTGTAATGGTGTTCTCAGAAGCTCCGGCAGTTGATAATCTGCAAAAGCTTCAAATACACATCTAGGATAGAGATGATAACACTCCCCAGGTTGAACACGGCCAGCTCTTCCTCTTCTCTGGAAAGTCAAATGGACATTCACTTATTATGTAGATTCCACCGCAACAACAACAACAACAATAACTACCCAGTAAAATCCCACAAAGTGAGGTCTGGGGAGGGTAATGTGTACGCAGACCTTACCCCTACCCTGATAGGGCAGAGAGGCTGTTTCCGATAGACCCTCGACTCAGAAAGACGGAAATAAAAACAGGAAAAGACAATTCATTAGTAACTCCAGAAGAAACCGTAATAGTAACAGAAGCATAACAACCAAAAGATAAATGACATGCAATAACTGTAACCAGTATCTAAGGCCCAGGGCTAAGATAAATAGCAAGGATAATGTGGATTCAACATAAACTGCAAGCCATTTAAGCTCAATATCCAACCCCGCCTCACCCCCGGTATGAAGTAAGGAAAGTTCTACTACTCCCTAACCTACAACCCTAATGCTTGACCTCCAGACCTTCCTATCAAGGGCCATGTCCTCGAAAATCTAACAGTCGTACCATGTCCTGCCTGATCACCTCTCCCCAATACTTCTTTGGCCTCCCTCTACCTCTTCTTGTACCCACCACGGCCAACCGCTCACACCTCCTCACTGGAGCATCAAGGCTTCTCCTCCGCACGTGCCCGAACCATCTGAGTCTCGCTTCCCGCATCTTGTCATCCACAGGGGGCCACGCCCACCTTCTTCCGAATATCTTCATTCCTAATCTTGTCTATCCTAATGTGCCCGCACATCCACCTTTGCATCCTCATCTCTGCTACTTTCATCCTCTGGATATGGGAGTTTTTAACCGGCCAACACTCTACCCCATACAACATGGCCGGTCTAACCACAGCTCTATAAAACTTACCTTTGAGTATCGGTGGCACTTTCTTGTCACACAAGATTCCAGATGCAAGCCTCCATTTCATCCAGCCCGCCCCTATACGGTGAGTGACGTCCTCGTCAATCTCTCCGTCGACCCAAGGTACTTGAAGCTATCTCTCTTGGGGATGACTTGTGCTCCAAGCCTCACGTCCCTACCTACTTCCCTCGACTCAGCGCTAACCTTGCACTCCACGTAATTAAATAATTCAAGAACACTAAAAAGCTAGGGGGAGTATGTGGATCCATGCGTCAAAATGCATTATTATTTTTAAGTATTGCAAAGGCTGAAGCAGGTAGATTATATATATCTTACTTGACGAGCAGAAGCTTTTGAAATCCAAGAAGGAAGCAAACATGGAGTGTTGTTGAGTGCATCATAAGATGTCTCTTTTGCCTTTCCACAGTCGACCACAAAAACCACATCATTGATGGTGATACTTGTTTCAGCCATATTGGTAGCTAATACAATTTTCCTTATTCCATCTTCTGGCTTATCAAAAATCAATTTCTGTTTGCAAGCGAGTAGAGATCAAAAGTTAAAAGGGTACAACAATATATAAATGAAATGAGAATAGCAAACAGATTTAAGTTATCAAAAAATTTACTTAATCAGAAATTCATGATCTTGACTAGATTTTAAAGCTCCCAACTGTGCAGGGATGAAACTCAATCTACTCCTCTAGCTCTCAAGGCTACCAACCTATCCTTCTTCCATGATTATTTTAGATGAGTTTTAAAATGGAAGGTAAGAAAGAACCTATCGGCACCTGATCAATACCCTTATAATTGTTAATTAATGCTTTTTGTCATAAAACATGTCTTCCGTGCTAGGATGAAACTCAACTCAAGCAACAGTGATATCTTTTTTGATGAAGAAGTAACAGCGATATCATGAGAATACCAACCTATTCATTCTGCAGGCCTAAAATCAAAGAAAGAGAATTCACTAAATATTTCTTAAGAAAAGATAAGAAAGAAAAGCATCATCACCTATTCAAAACAGAATTCCTTAAAACAGTATAAAAGAAACAAGCTCCTTGAAACCTTAATATATTTTCATTTTTTTTTTTGACTGGTTAATTTTACTACTCAATAGGACAAAGATCTTATACAGTGACTTCACCTTTAAATTGAAAAACGTTATAGCTTTTAAAAGATACTGGAAGGACCCAGCAGATTACATTCTGCCTTTGAATAACCAAAATTCCTCCATAAAGGCATACACAAATTTCTACAATACTGATTCTCTAAAAAAGTTAAAAGAATATAGAAACGAAACGACAACTATGGGAAAGGAAGATAAAAGGTAACACTTCCAACTTGGCTATACCTGCTCCGCACTGGCCATGGAACCATGGCATGCAAGCAGCAATACTCTGCTTGGATCTCCCAATAGAGGATGAGCCTGCAGCTGATCCTTCAAAGCATTAATGTCATCCCAACCTGTCATGAAAACCAACACAGCACCTGGCCTTTCGTTTTTACATATGTGGCAAAGCACATGCTCAATTAGGTTGAAACCTATTGAATCAGGATTCCAACAGGATAGTGAATCCCGAGTACGAGGATTAAACTGCCCAAAATCAGCTGCTTCTAGTGATTCCTGTTTCAAAGCTTAAGTGTCAAACAAAAACTATCATACAGAGCCCATGATAACATCATAGAGATTCTATACCTCAACAGCTGAAGCAATTTGAGTCTTCCTCTTCCTATCAGTCTGCTTCTGCATTTTCCACATCTTGTCTTGACCATAATTATCAATTTGATTATATGGAGTTAACCGATATCTAGTTATTTCCAAAATATTTTCCAGAAAATGACTTCGGACTGGATAAGTAAAACCCTGATGAGAGCAAAGAGAGATTTTAGCCCCCCCAAGAAAAAGCATTCTAGGAAGATCAAGAACTCTAGAGCAGCTCAAATATGATGCTTATGTTATAAGCCTTTGGCCATGGAAAATCCAAATGATTTCTATGGTATTGCTGAAATGTAAAAGTCTAAAATAAACCATGGATATAGTGACCTGAATGACCATAAACAAAGAGATATATGTTAAAACTGAGTGCCACTACTCCATTCCATTTTTGTTTTAAGAATCAATCAAGCTATCAACTAAGCTTCTACCTGAGATTAGTTGAAGTCAGTTATATAACTCTTCTTTCATTTCTTTTTCGTTTTTTTTTGATAAACCAAAATTTGTATTACCAAACACCAAGCAAGTGTCAAAGGTACTTCTACTATATTCAAGTCCAATTTATTCCAATAGTAAGCACTTTGTATTTTAGGCAAATTAGTGGTTCCACAAAATAGAGCTTCTCTAAATTTCATATTTACCACTCGACAAGCATAAAAGTCTCTAATTAGAATAAAAATTTCCTAATACCATCAATAACAGTAAGATCTCAGTTCCAACTAGACTGTATCACTTATATAAATCATTTATTTCCATCACGTTTTATTTTAGTTAAGTCCACATTGACCCCGACGGATCCTAGGTTTTAGGATACAACTTCCTTTTATATAATTTTACGTCTATCTATCTCTTTTTATCACATTACATCATATTGTCACATCAACTGATTAGAGCATCTGGAGCTCTACGCATGACATAACCAATCTTAAGCAACCTTTTGTCATTTGAAACTCCAGGTGTGCACATGCGCGCTCTGTTGGAAACGATAATTTCTATTCTTGTCCAATTGTGCATGGCCGACATTTATCTTAATATCCGCATTTGTACAACTCTCATGTTATATATTGAGCATCTAAAGCCCAATGCCCAATGCCCAAGCCCAACTGTTCCATAGAATCTTTTTTAACTATGGCAGCTAATTTCCTGTAGCATAGTATGTCAAACCAATCCTCCCTCTCCCTCCCTCCCTTTACTTTTTGGTCATGAAGGAGGTATCCGGATGTCAGTATTTGGACGGGTATCACATGATTTAAAGCCTACATCATGGTAGAAAATGTAATAAACCTTCGACTTACAGGAATATGGATCATTGGAGCGCCGCCAAAATAGGAAGAGAAGAGCTCAGCGTTAAGAGTAGCACTCATCAAGATCAGCCTCAATTCCGGTCGACGGGGAAGGAGATCTTTAAGGACAATCAATAGGAAATCTGAAAGGAAAGACAACTCTAGTAAGCAACTTGAAGTACAAGAGTTTAAAAAACTGCAACATTGCCAGGTGGGCAGATACCTTCATTCATTCCCCGTTCATGAATCTCATCTACAATAACGTGAGTGACACCTCCCAAATTTCTATCAACCAGTAATCTCCTTAGAAGAATGCCAGTGGTGCAAAATAAGAGGCGTGTATCCCTCCCTTTCATGCCCTCAAGCCGAACCTTGTAGCCCACCTACAAATTGGAGAACACAACCAGAAGAAAAAACATTTTATATACCCAATAAACACATACAGAAGAAATAGCAAGAGCCAAAAACTCACAGATTCTCCCAGACTCTCCCCACGCTCTGCAGCAACTCTTTCAGACACAGCCATAGCAGATATTCGCCTTGGTTGAGTACAAATAATATTACAAGTAGCTCCACGAGCAGCTTCAATCTCAGCTTCTAAAATGTACTGAGGCAATTGGGTAGTCTTACCACATCCAGTTTCCCCAGACACGACCACCACCTGCACCACAACCAATTGCTGTCAGGACCCTTCTTCAAATGAACTTTCTTTTCTTCTTTTTGAGAATGTATCTTCACATGAATCATTTTGCCAGCCTAATTCTAGGAAAGCAAGCCTCAATTGGATTAAAGTATTCATTAACATAAAAGTATCACTCTTTCACTCTTACTAATATATAAAAGATAAACACTGCACTAGTTGGCAGTATCTCCTTGGTACTTGCCTTAATAAAATTAGCTTATTTTATCAACAAAACAAATAAAAGAAGAAGATAAAACTGGACTATCAGATATGCAGGTTAGGGCCCATATATCAAGAGGACTTCGTGATGTGCTATTTTCACCATGCTACACCGTCCGCATAAAGCAACCCACAAATGCGCTTACTTGCGATGGATTCATTGGTCAATCAAAATTGAAAGTGAAAATCTAAATCAAGTCAAATAAGAAGCCTTGGAAGGAATACCTACTGTTATTCAACCTACATACATAGCAACAGCAAAGCCATACAATTGAATTATTTGACAGAACTGCATATAAACCTGATTCTCAGAAATAGCTCTAAGCAATGTCTCTCTCTCTTTATATGCTGGGAGATTTCTTCGAATTTCTTGCATCTTCTGGCCTTCTGGAGATCCCTACAGAAAGATGGCTGTCAGTCAAAACTGATGTTTAGGGTACTGCATAGAGATGAGTTGTTGTATTGCAGTACGCAATCAAGAGGCAACTTGATAGTTACCTTTTGCAAAAATTCTGTGTGTACATTACTGAGAACTACAGAGCAAGTTCCATCAATCCACCACTACCCACTATACCATCTAAAAACTTAGAATATAATTTCTAAAACTTTTGACAAAGACAAATGTAAAATTGATTTTTAAATTACACATGAACTTAATTAGTTAATTTGTTCTGTTTAAGAAGAAAACATATTGGCTATCCATCATCTTGTGCACTAAATTTATAGTACAAAAGTTACTGCAATAGCTGTTCACAGTTTGGTTATTATGCATTTCAACTTTTTTATTTGTTTGTGTGATAAGTAACAAGTTAATTTGCATTTCTTTTTTACTTGTAGGAATGAAAAGAAAAGGAAAAATCCAGGGAATCACATTGAGCATGTAGAGCTCGACCAAAATGGGACATATTTACAAAGTCCACATGCAGAATACAAAAATAGTCATTAGATATCTTGAACTTCCCACTCCCAAATACAGAATTAAGAATGAATATCATAAACGTATGTAATGAGTGCAAGTGCAAAACCAAGGAATGCAAATAGTATAACATGAACGCAGCACTGGAAGAACAGGTCCCGGCCCCTAAGCCACTCTAAATGGCTCACGATTGTGTTGAGTAATTCAACCTCCAACAAGCAGTAAGTTAATTTGACAAGATGATCACAACTATCCCTAAAATATTTAGTACTTGAAAACTTGTACTATTATGTGATGCTTCACCTTGTTGGGCTCTGCTAAAGTGCCAAGCCATTACACATTCTTTGTGAACAGCATCCATATTTCTCAGGTTACAAGATACAAAACATTTTGAAGAGAGAGAAGAAGACAGCAGCCTAACGTGGCCCAGATGATAGAGGAGAAATAAGGTCTGAACAACATACGGATAACAACATGAAACAAATAAAAAGTCTAGAAAATGAAACATGTGTTATTTGCAACAATCTGGCAAAAGATAGAATATAACCTTCCAATCTTCTTGTCTGTTACGCATCTCCAAGCTCCTTCGCCTGAGAATTTGCTCTGCAACAACATTTCGTGCAAATGGCTTCTCATTCTCATAAAACTCTTTATCATTGGGAGAAGCATTATGTGCAAAGTTTTCCTTGTTTCCGGACTTTTTAGAAAGATGTGCTTTAAGAAGATCGTCTACCCTGTTTTGTAATCCATAAGGCAATACTACCTAAAATATCAATGCGAGATGCATTAATTGAAGAACATACTGGAAAAAAGAATGAAGCATAAAGCACATATAGCCAGATAAAAAACTTCATGTTAACACTTATTTACCTCTCTCTGTGGACGCTTAGCATCCAAATCCGGCCTATAATTCGGCAATGGGACTTTGCTAAACACAACTGCTTTTTCATACTGGCGGCTGCATCAAAATATATACCGAATAAACTCACAACAAAGTGAACATAAAAAGAACATCACATCACATATGTAAATGTTAAAGAAATTTGATATACCAATGCAAACCCATTCTAGTTGCCAGAGCTGATATATGCTCAAAATCCCGACGGTCCTTTTTCTCCCTTGAGATCACTTCTTGGTCATCTTTTTTGCGCATTAACATGTTTAGCTTCCACCTCCATTCTTCAATATTATGAAGGGTTCCATCACACTAGAGTTGATAACAAACGAAAAGTGAGAAGAATCGTATAAGCTGAAAAATAAAAAGTCCCTAATTTTATTAGACACTTACCAGTTGCTTAGACGACTCAGTTTCACGATCAGACTCGGACTCAGACTCATACTCATCATAAGCAAAACGACCATACCCTAAATTCTGCTGATAAAGATACGGAAAAGAAAAAGAAGAAGATGATGAACCATTTCTTTTCCGCCTTAATACAACAGACGAATTAGAAGAGCCCTTGGCGGAGCAAATGAATCTAATTTGTGACGGGCAGTGAAGAAGAGGGGCTGTGTTAAAGTGGAAACAAAATTGTAGAGAAGTGGTGGTAGTGGAAGACATAGTGGTGAGGAATTGGGTGGCTTTGAGCCTCACCTTGAGGCAGTTTTGAATAAGGTTAGAGTAAGGCATGGGCATGGGCATGGTGATTATGCCTAAAAATTAAGTTGAAGACTTTTTCAGGGAAACCATTTTTGTAATTTTGTGGTTAGGGTTTAAGGAGGGAGATGAAAATGAGGAATGGGTAAGAGGTGGTTGCATAGTAGTCACAGAACCAATGGCGTGCCGCAGCTGAGCAGCATCGACCAAATATTATTTGTACAACTACCATTTACTACTTTACTATGTTTTTCTTCTTTCGGGTTAATTGTCGGTTTGGCCCCTGTAGAAAGAAAATATGTCGCTTGACCTCTCTGTATTCCTCGAGGGGTTTAGGGTTTGAAGTTTCGTTTAATTTACATCTTTAAAGATATGGCTTGACCCTTGGAGGATTGGTAAATGATAAAAGGTAAAGACTTACTTGCATAGCACGTTTGATTTATGAGTTAAGGAATCGTTTGATTGGCAGGATTATTTTATTTCATGTTTTTTTGAACATTTGAATTAGCAATCTTATAACTAATTTATATTATAATTATAGTATTATTTTATCCCACGTTGAGGGTGGAATGATAATACCTATATTACTTTCCCTCCAACTTATTTAGTATACGTCAACCACATATTTTATATTATGCCCTATGTATCTCATTTTTTAGTCCAATGAACCAAACATCTCCTAATATATATCCACTAAATAATTCTGTCACTATTTAATTCTTATATTATAATCCAATCATTATAATCTCAGATAACTAGTTCCCTGATCATGGAGAAAAATGTTATAGGTTAATATCTAGAATTATAATTTGATTTTTGTATTAATACATAAATATAGTTCGTTATAATGCAAAAATAAGAATATACATGTCAAAATACGACAGAGTAAGAGTGTCGTAGCACTCGTGTACACCTCCACCTCATGTTATTCTAATTTTTTTTTTCAAGTTGAGCAACAAAGCAAAGGCATAGATGTTTTACTTCATTTGGATAATACTTTTTGTTTTCGAGTTGCATGAAGTGTATAGTGTACTAATAAATAATTTTTTTTGCCTTCTTGCTATGTATTTTTATTTTTAGAGATTGATTAGTACACTATTTTGTTTACCATAAATTCATAAATTCAACCATCTTAACAAAAATCTTCACTATAATACTGGTGATGGGAAACGAGAAAAAGTTGCACAAGATTATGTAGAAGGAAAGTACTTACATGCATGTAAGCAATGCACTAATTCAAATAAGTGCGCTTATATAAGCTTTATCATTTACCTATGTTAATGATATAACTTTGTATCACAATTTGTTAGTTTACTACAACAAAGTAATACTATTAAGATACATAAATTTACATTGAATGTGAATAAGATTTTTAAATACAGAGCAATCTATTTGTATTATTTTCCACACGACTACCTTCTTCTTCAAAAGACCTAATATCATTAAAAACTTTAGGATCCAGTTTTGGGTGAAAATATATTAATAGATTAAATCGGGGTAGAAACAGAAGAAGAAATGAAGTGGGGGGTATAAACAGCAAAATGGAAAAATATCGGGAACCCTCTGGAAGGTAAAAAGCCCAAAACCCCCTTCCCAAATTTCAATTTGTCCAGAACCTACGCTCTTTTCTCTCTTCTTCGCTAGGGTTTCGGTACACAGTTCCCATTTTCCCACTCAATCTGAATCATCTCGATCCAGTAGTATTCCATCTAGGGTTTCGTCAATCTCGATCTCAAAATGGCATCTTCAGCGGCAGTGTCGGCGCCCCGCGCCGCTCCTTCATCTAAAACCGAGACGTTCGTCGACAATAAGCGGAAGGACGACATCCGCATGGCCAACATTGCCGCCGCACAGGCCGTAGCCAACGCCGTCCGTACAAGTCTCGGCCCTAAAGGAATGGACAAGATGATCTCTACAGCAAACGGAGAAGTTATTATCACCAACGACGGAGCCACTATTTTGAACAAAATGGAGGTCCTTCAACCTGCCGCTAAGTTCCTCGTTGAGCTTTCCAAGTCACAAGACGTTGTCGCCGGAGACGGAACCACCACCGTTGTTGTTATTGCCGGTGCATTGCTCAAACAGTGCCTTTCTCTTCTCTCCGCCGGTATTCACCCAACTGTCATCTCCGATTCCTTGCACAAGGTGTCTACGAAGGCTGTTGAGGTTCTCACAGCCATGGCCATTCCACTTGAGCTCACTGACCGTGATTCCCTCGTGAAATCAGCGAGCACGGCCCTTAACAGTAAGGTAGTATCGCAGTACTCTACTCTTTTAGCTCCTTTAGCTGTTGATTCTGTGCTTTCTGTTGTGGACCCCGCAAAACCTGACATAGTTGATCTAAGAGATGTTAAAATTGTTAAGAAATTGGGTGGTACTGTTGATGATACAGAGTTGGTAAAAGGTTTAGTTTTTGACAAGAAGGTCAGTCATGCCTCGGGCGGTCTCACGCGTGTTGAGAAAGCTAAAATTGCTGTGATTCAGTTTCAAATTTCACCTCCAAAAACTGATATTGAGCAGAGCATAGTAGTTTCTGATTATACTCAGATGGATAGGATTTTGAAAGAAGAGAGGAATTACATTTTGGGCATGATTAAGAAGATTAAGGCGACTGGGTGTAACGTTTTGTTGATTCAGAAGAGTATTCTGAGGGACGCGGTGACTGAATTGTCTCTGCATTATTTGGCAAAGGCTAAGATTATGGTGATTAAAGATGTTGAGAGGGATGAGATTGAGTTCATTACCAAGACCTTAAATTGTCTGCCTATTGCCAATATTGATCATTTCAGGGCGGAGAAACTCGGATTTGCTGATTTGGTTGAGGAGATATCTCTTGGGGATGGTGGCAAGATCGTGAAGATCACAGGGATTCAGGACATGGGCAGGACCACTTCGGTGCTGGTTCGTGGGTCAAACCAATTGGTCCTTGATGAGGCAGAAAGGAGTTTGCATGATGCGTTGTGTGTTGTAAGATGTTTGGTGAGCAAGAGGTTTTTGATTGCAGGTGGAGGGGCACCTGAGATTGAGCTTTCTAGGCAGTTGGGTGCATGGGCAAAGGTTCTACAGGGAATGGAAGGGTATTGTGTGAGGTCATTTGCTGAAGCTCTCGAAGTCGTACCGTATACTTTGGCTGAGAATGCTGGGTTGAACCCAATTGCGATTGTGACTGAGTTGAGGAACAGGCATGCACAGGGAGAGATCAACACGGGGATCAATGTGAGGAAGGGACAGATCACTAACATCTTGGAGGAGAATGTGGTGCAGCCATTGCTGGTGAGCACAAGTGCAATAAGCTTGGCCACTGAATGTGTGCGGATGATTTTGAAGATTGATGACATTGTTACGGTGAGGTAGAGTGATGTTATGTGAAGTTGCTGGAAAATTAGAGGATTGTTTTCTCATATCTTTCGTTTTTGATTTGTGTGCTTCAAGAATTAGTGGTTCTCTGGTTCTTCTTTATTTCAGATTATATGCTGAACTTTGAATTTCAGTTTTGCTTAGCTAGTTTTTACTTGCTGGGGTTCTTCATTTCATTTAATCTTAGTTTTGAGTGCATGACTGCTCTTTGTATGTCTTTGTTGGGAACATGATGCAGTATGTAACATGTGGATCACTATCATTTATCAATATTAGTAATCAGATGCTCCTTAGTTGATGTATTTGGTTTTCCTCCAGCAATATGTGTGCCAATTAGTTATCAAATAGCACTGCCTGTTCAAATTTTTTCTTTACCACGTGCTTCTTGCACTTTGTTGTCTTATGACCCACCAAGCGAGTTTGCTATCTCGTTTACATTTGTGTGTGCTGATGAATGTTCTCAGGCACTCTCTACTTATTTTCCCTTGGGCAAATTGTGGATCTGGTTCGATATCAGATGTTTATTGGTTAGAGGCGTACCTTTCTTTTCCTCCTTTCCTCTAGGAAAATAGTATTAATTCATTCTAATGCCTAAAGTAGAGTAAATGTTAAATATGATCTTTTTTCTTGCATGAATGAAATAACAAAAAATCACATAACTTTGTTATAAGGGTAAGGGCTCAAAAAGAGTGACGATGAAAGCCTTTTTCTGTTCATCCCCCCGAGTCGGGGTATTCTGTTGGTTGGGGTGGGGTGGGTGAGAGGGGTGGGCATGCCATGAGTTCTGGCAGGGTGACAGAAGCTTATATACAAAGAGAGCAAATAGAAGAAATGCAAGTAAAGGAGGTTGAGAAAGATTGGTCAGTTTGGGCTACCTGGTTTCCTTGTAAAATAGGAATATGAGAGTTGCTGATTTGTCTGTGTATGTGCTACTCTATTTTGGTTTCTTTCTTCTTTTTTTCTACCACTCTAGGCTCAATCGAAGTGCTATCTGCCCGACGACTAGATTGTTGGCTTATCTCACCAAACTGTTTGATCATTTTATTGTGTTCAAGAGCCAAGGTCTATTGTTAAGGGGGCAGCAGATCTTTTTAGGAAGAATACCTCTAGAGGAACAGGACTTTCAATTTTCATCTACTACTTCGAGTCTCTTAGAAACCATTAGTGCCCCTAGTGACCATCTCCCGCCCCGCCAGTATTCAGTACATTAGGTTATAGTCAAACCTGTCCAATCAACTGTTGCCCCATAAAAGGAAGGGAGTAATCTATGTTACAATTTGTTTTTTGACTACAGTTCTGTTTTACTCTGAGTTCTTATGGAGTCAAACTCTTGAGATTATCTGATATTGTGATGTAACTGCAATAACGGCGAGGACTTCAAAGTACTGCTTTCAAATTTGAAGGCAACAGTTTAGTATCATCTGAACACAAACACAGATGCTTGTGCCATGTCAATCAGTGTTTAATTTCACAAGCCCAAAGATGCTTCCCAAGTCAGTAGTACACCAATTAACTGTTTCTTTCTCCAAGGTGTACATGAAAGTATAATTGTACAAATAATTTGAAAAAGCAATAGTTCCAACAAGTACTCCAATTTGTCAAAAGCTTTTAAGCTGCCAGACGACCAATTCAGTACTCATGGCTCGTAATCTAAACTTCAACTAATTTGGTTTCTGTTCAATGTTCTTGCTGCTGCGTCCATGCCAGGTTAGATTGACCTTGCAGCTTTAATTTTAGAAAGAAACCATAAAAGAAGAAATAATATTTCAATGAAAAAGTATATGTGAACTGTATTTGACATATTTTGTTAGCAAACGTCAGCTCCAACCGAGGATTCCTCCTTGCTGCTGGAAGCAAGAAGATGTTTTGTCAATGTTGCCTCTTCAGTTTGTTGGCTGACAATTCTTTTCTCTTCATTTTTACCCCATAACACTAGGTAAAGTCCAACCACAATCAGAAGTCCGCCAAGTATCCTGCATTTATATAGTTTGACAAGTTTGAGATTCATGGACTACAGATTCTAAGCAAACAGGTTATTTCAGGTAGTCACTGATTTTATCCATCCTATCAATAAAATCACTTCTGGGACTACCCTCCCCAGACCCCACTTGTGGGACTATACTGGGTCGTCGTCGTTGTTGTTGTTGTTGTATCAATAAAATCACAACTAGTTTCACAACTAGTTTTTGCCACATTAAAGTAATTGAGCTTTACATACTATTCCCATAGTATTGTGTTGCGACTTTACTGTTATAGTGGGTAATTCTCATTAACCTTAAGCAAGTTGGCAATTTATCGACAATTATGAGCAAGAGTTGATTTTTTTCCCATTATTTCTTGACTTACCCTCCTGAGTACAGCTGATCACCAAGAACAACAAAAGCCATGACAGCAACTAATACTGTTTGCACAGGCTGGAAGGTGGCAACATACACTGGTCCTCCTTTCTGAATGCACCAAGTCTGAAGAGATAATACTATTCCAGAAGAGACAATACCCTAATGCAATTACAGCCAATATAATTAGCCGTTCATGTTTACTAAGATTATGTGAAAACAGGGAATTAAAGCTTGGATTTTCATAGGGTCTTACAGCATATAAAATCAGATAAACCTCCTCTCCAGAATGGATCTTCCAACGTGTTGGATCCCGTTCTGTAAAAGCTGCTATAACTGAGAATTGAATTAATCCAAAGAAGCAAGTAAATGAGGTAAGTGATAGCTTGGCTGGGTATTGCTTCACAATAGGAGCCTGCATTATTTACCAAGTTTCATTAGTCACTATAAGTTGTCAGAATTGATATAAACAAAGTTATGGTTCCAGCAGACATGTGGAGACTGCTTGATCTTACTAACAACTATTGTATTTTTTTTTTTGGTTTCATTCAACTTGATTATACCAGTAGGTCACGGGTTCGACCCGTGGAAACGGCCTCTTGCAGAAATGCAAGGTAAGGTTGCGTACGATAGATCCTGTGGCCCGGCCCTTCCCTGGACCCCGCGCATAGCGGGAGCTTAGTGCTTCGGGCTGCCCTCCATTCAACTTGATTATACCATCATGCTCCCATTTATTTCATCACGGATTTAACTTATATACACTGACTATGTAAAGAATTTTTATGCTACCAATGTAATACGGAGTATAACATGTCTGATCACTCAAAAAAGAACTACAACAGTATATAAAAGTTAAACTCTTCCATCGCTGGTTGTATACCTGAAGCACCATCCAACCAGCCCATGACAAACAATGACCAAGCAAATAAACACAACCCCATGTCCAATTCAACATTTTCTCATGAGAAGCAGCCATATCTTCTTCAGAAGAATTGCTTCCTCTTAATAATGGAGGGCCTTTGTAAAGAGTAATAATAGTGGCACCTCCAACACTTGCAATGGTTCCCAGAATTTTTGCCATACCATCTCTCCTCATAAAATGTACTCTTTCTAGCCTGAAAACAAGCATGTATTTTAGTCTAAATGTGATAGCTATAAAATCTTAAATGAATGAATAGAAATGTGTCATTCTAATGGCTCTTTCATACCTTAGAATAGAAGCCATAATAAAAGTAATAGCAGGAACTGAGTTTTGCATTGCTGAAGCAAAGGTTGGGGATGCATAATACAAACCTAAGATATAAAATCCTTGGTTTGCTGTGATCCTGGAAAGCGAAAACTTGCATAAATTATCAAAAATACATCTTAGAAAAGGATTAACCTATATTTACTGTAAAGAATTTTTACGCTAAATTATTTTCTAAGTTACTAATCCACTTGTTATGGACGATTACCTATAATTATATTTGTGATTGACCTAATAATTTAAAAACTCTTTAACACTGTCGTTATATAAAAGTTAAATTCAAAAGAAAAAAGTAGAAGCTGGATCTATGTTGTGCGGACTCTCCAAAATGCGGCTGCATCCGTGTCGGATCCTCCAAAGATACACAATTTTTGGAGGATCCAGCACGTACCTGATAATATTTTCGAAGAGTCCGAGCAACATAGAGCTGGATAGCTTCGATAACCGCTTGCTTACCCTATTAAAGCAAGGAGGAAAAACTGAACCAATAGAGAGAATGTGAGGGGTGGTCTTTCTTTCCTGTATAAACCATACAACACAAGTGCAGAAAAAGTTATATAAATCAAGAAACAAGAAAAAGAAAAAAAAAAAGAGACAAAAGAGCTGAGTTATTTTTGAAATCAAAGACTTACTTTTCCAAGAAATAAGCAAAGGGTCCTAATAAAAGCAATGCAATAATGTTTCTATAAACTGGATACACAATTTTGCTAACACCAATATTGAGTGCAAGTCTTGAAACTATATGAAATCCTGCATAACAAAGCTGCAAAACAAGCAATGCTATAAGAAGTTTCACTTTTCCTGGAATGCCACTTTTTGGTTCCATTTCTTTTGATTTTTTTTTCTAATTTCCTTTTTACTTAGATTCTCAAGTACTACAAGTACTAAAAATTGGCCCCATATATATATAAAGTCTATAGAGCAGTGAAAGATACCATTTAATAAAAATAAGTGAATTAAATGATAAATAATTGAGGGAGAAAACAGAACAACATCACTGGCATATGCAAATTGATCATTTAGACATATTATTATGAGATTGTGAATAATTTAAGTCCCTCAATGTATACTGTGCATTTATTGATTTAGTTGCTCTATACTTTGCATGCAAATCTGTATATTGTGAGATTGCTTTATCTAAATCTCGTATAATTCGTTGACTTGAGACTTTGGACTTTGTTAGGGAGACAAACTGGGGGTTATGCATGTTGGTTTTGGTAGCTATAACATAAGAGAAACCGACACCTATTTTATGACTTTTCTTGAATTTTGGCAGCTATTCTGTAGGACCTTTTTATTAATTTGTAAGTTATCTTTTTATTAGTTAGTTTTAAGTATGAAATGAGAAAGTTTTTCTTTTCTTTTATTTTCACTTGCCTTGGGAGAATCGACTCCGACTTATTTGGGATTAAGACGATATTATTATTTTACTTACCCATCGAACAAAAGCTATCAACCATCCAGTTGAATTAATCTGCATAAATACCTTTATTTATTTTAAAGTGCGGAAAAATAGTTACTACCATTAAGATTTTTTGCTAGCAAACCTACATATTATGATTTTTTTTACACCACCATAGTATTTTAAAATGTTATAGCAGGTAATCCGTCTTATTTTTTCATTAGTAATTTCATATTTTATGGACAATTTCACGTAGTTATCTTTTACTAAATGACTTAATAATGTAAATTTTATGCTATCTGTTTATAGAAGTTAGAATTGGTGTATTTTACAAAGTGGGGAAGGAAATATGAAAACTATTTCGTTGGAACAAATCCCTCATCTGCAGCCGGATACCCCTAATCGTGTTAGGAAAAGAAAACAGCGAAGAATCATAGATCCCATGTGGTCCTTCCTATTGTTTTACAATAATAATAAAATAACCCAACTTTACAATATCAGACTATTATCAGAATTTTGTTTTGAAACTGAAAATTAACGTCCACCGTAGGAGGGCTGTGTCAGTTGGCAAAGGCCAAGAGGGGAGCAATCAGAATCATACACTAATCAATTAAGAAATCCAAATGAGAGCAAACAAAAGGTATGAATAATTTGTTTGCAACCCCAAAGACGTTGGATCGTTAGACCTTTTGATAGAATCTTTTCACGGGCAATCAACGAAAATCATACTTTGTCCTACCGAATCTTGAGTCAGGAGACATAACCCATGTTATTCATATTATTGAATTTTTAGATTAGGTAAGTCTTAATATAGAGATTCCAAGCTTAGAAGAAGAATATTCTCATCTCTTTTCACTACGTCAAAAAAATAATAATATTATAATAAAAGGAAACTGCCCATTGGATTATTAACCAAGATGGTTCACGGTACATGAATGAGGATATTACCAAAACATATATACAACTCTCACAATATATATGACGATTTTGTTGTCATGCACAAAGTTGCTCTAAATTATATTAGACCATGTTCCATTATTCCTCTATGCAAATATTTGTCGCGGCTGCATATCACTCAATATTTTTGAGTATAACCTTGATAAAAAGTTCTTTGGGGGAGGTGGGGTAAAAGAGAGGAGGGAAAATAAATAAATAAATTAATTAAAAGAGATATTTTCCTTCACAGTTTTCACAATTTTGTATTTCTAGTTTCTCTGAGGCAACATTACCCACTTTTATTTCTCAATCAGCAATTTGGAAAAGTCGGGAGAATATTAACGACAATGAAAGAATGGCAACCTCTCCAAGAAATCCTTCAACCCAGAGGTATAACTGTATGAACCAAAAACTGATCACACCAGCTGATCAATTACTTAAACTACAGAAGCACAAGTTTACTTTTTAAAACACAAGCAGCTTTATACAGCACGCACAACAGTCTTGAGCAGAAAAGGCTTTTTAAGACTGCCCGATTCTACCAACAAATTGTACAGCTTTGGTCAAAAGCCAAGAAATCTTAACCGTACAATCTGCAACTAAACTAGAAGACATGAAGATACAACACACAATTATAATGAACATGAACGAAAGAGAGCAAGACCAAATTTGGTTGCCTAGATTCTTCTAAAGATTGTTTTTTAACAATAGTTCTACTGTTTTTTCCTAAAAGCAATTACAACAGCGGAGCAGTTATCTTTGCATTGACGCTCACGGACTGCCTCCCGCACAAGGCGACGACTCACAACTGACACAGGTAGCCCCTCCTATCAAAGAGATGCAAAGGTTAAGCAAGCTGCTACCAGAAATCAGTCTCAAGTTAAAATCTTTTGAAGACTGCTTGAACTTTCCAGGGAGAAAAGGAGAGTGACTGAGTGAGAGGGGGAATTTGGGGGGGAGGGGAACATGACATACCTTTAGTAGCTTCTGAACAAAATCAACAGCATCACTTGGCCCAAAAACCTACAATCAGAGGGGAAAAATAATATCCCCAGGAAGGGCACCCAAGCATCGTGGTTGTATGCATAGAAATAAGAATATGACAGAAAAAGAAAAACAAAGATACCCCCCACAAGCCATCACAGCCAAGAATGATGAAGTGGTCTCTCTCAGTAAGGTCAAATGAATGAACATCTGGAGTTGCGATAACACCAACCTGCATATTGAATTCCTTTACATGAAAACGATGGAATTTTGATAATTAAATGAATTTGAAATTCCTGAAACTTGTGAATGGTACATTAGATACACACACAGGCATTTACATATAATACGTGAAGATCAGTAGATGTGGGTCACTTTCATCTATCCAAAAGTCAAACTGTCAAAGTTTATCAGATAAGTTGGACAGATAAGAGTAACACAAATGAATCTATCACCTGTCGGAAAATATCACTTCTTTTAAACTGCTTAATTCATGGACGGCTATATACAATGAATACAACACAAATATCAGGTATAAGAAGTCAGATGCAAAGGCATGAACTGTTTAGAATTTACGAGGCCAAAACACTACAGCAACACGATTTGGCTGATGATATATAAACAGTATATACTGCAAATGCACCATCAAAATTATCCCTCCTTTTCCTCTTTACATGAAGACATTTAGGGGGAAAGGAAATAACAGCAAAGGAGCAGCTACAATTAAATTGCATTTCCTTAGGATAATGAATTAAATCTCTATACAACCTAGCAAAACGCATTATTGCTTGCAAATGGATAAACAGAAAGAAACAATTATAGACATCATAATCACCAGTAAGAAATTTTAAAAAGGAAAAAGAAAAGATCTTCTCTCAGCATACAACCTTCTTGAACTGCCGATCTCCGAAAGCTCTGGAAACTTCAAGGCGTGCTTGTAGTCGTCCATTAGAACTGACAGATCCCCCAGCCTACAAGAACATGGATGTTCATAAGCAGAAGCTCCATACCCATAGCAGAGAAGCAATAGAAGAATGCGGCACTTAAGTTCAACTTATGACAAGAAAAATTCAGTTGGAAACTATTAATATAAAAAAAAGATCAGTTGGAAACTACTTGGTCCATCTAGGTAGTAGCGTTGAATTAGGAAAGAAATAACAGAGTGATCTGGCCACTGTTCGCTAACGAGTGGGTTTTGAAGACAACATGCCCCTTTTTATCTACCTTCACTTGACAGGTATTTACAAGTGCAAATATTATAATCCCACAGGTGGGGTCTGGAGAGGGTAGTGTGGACGCAGACCTTACCCCTACCTGGAGAGGTAGAGAGGCTGTTTCCGATAGATCCTCGACTCAAGAAAAGGTGGAAAGGAAGAAAAGGGGAGGAGGAGGAGGAGGAGGAGAATCAGAATCACTATCTAATTATTTTATCAAAGTGGTTCAGAAATTATCATAAGCTAAACAAGTTTTATAGAAAGTCTTAAGAGTAATAAGATAAGATATTCATTGCCTTACAAAAATGAGAAATGGAGACAAAAGTTGCGTATCAGTTTTCAAAAGGTATTCATTGCCTAATGCTTACTTTTTGGATGCGTGCACGTTCTTGTGGATATATAGCCTTGTGTTCCCTGGTCAAGACTATGGCCTTTATTGGAGTTGATCCATCAGAACTGTTGTTTGAACCGTCAGCCAGGGATGACCGAGCTAAAATTGCCTTGGCATCTCCAATATTAGCAACAAACACCTAATTGTACATGGTACAAACTTCATTAGATATTCAATGCAAATTCCTGAGAGTCAATGTGAAACTGATAAGAAAGAAGTACGTGTCTGAGAGGTGCTGCAGCTTATTCAAAGAGTAAGTTTTATGCAAAAAAAAAAAAGATAGATCAAAAAAATTCTTCAGAAAGCTACTAGAATGGTAGTTGGTTTAACACTCAACATCCAGATATGACCCTTTCGGGACCACACAGTATGTCATAAAAGCTTCAGTACCAATATTTAAAGATCTTGATAGGTTTTCCCCAGAAAGGGTTAGCTATACACTTTCATATGTCTCTGTGCGAGAGAAAGTAATCATACCAATCTAATATTGATGGACTCACACTTAAACTATTGAATGTTCCTCGGGCATTATGTGCTTCTAACATCAACACCATCATTATTCCAACAAGTTCAACAGTGTGGAAAGAGAATCAAGGTAGAGCTCAAAAACAAGAACTCAATCACTAGAGTACATAAAGAATATAAAACCAGACTTACTTTGGAGCCTAATACCCAAACACATACTGCAGCAGCACCATCTTGCCAACCACCTGTCGATGCTTCTAACACAGTAAGTAAACCATCAACCTAAGAAGACTCTAAGAAAATGGAAAGCAGTTGATAGTTTGAGATAACAAACACAGCTTAAACATTGAAATATGAATCAAAGAAGTGATAGCACTTAACAATTCAGAGTAGAAAACCAGAGAAGTGATTCTTAATACCTCAGGTAAAATACCAGAGATGTGATATCAGAAACAGCCTTTAAAGTATTTGAACGTGAAAGATACAAATAGGTGAATATTTTCATGAAATGAAAAAGAGTACAGACTAAGCAGAAATGCAAAATACATAAAAAGAGGTTAAGCAAGGAGATAAAAAATGTCTTTCGGATGAACAAAACCCTGAAAAAAATTCAACACTATCCAGTTCATGATTCCAAAAAGAAAAAGAAGCTTTTACTGTTCCTTCTATTACCTAATATCATGTCTTATATAAACCAAAAGTAGGAACCGGTAAAACTTTGTCAATCCACTATACAACCAGGTTTGCCAATGAAGCATCTTGAACCTTTGGCTTATAATTTCAGTATCAGGTACAGAGCCTGGATTGTGGCAATTCAAGCAAACGATCAACTTTCACTAGAATTTCTGAAGGAAACATGAACCAATATCATTTTCTGTGAGTACCTGATTAGCTATCCAGCCGACAATTCTTTGCCTCCTAAACAGGAGACAAACATGGTAAACATGTATACATTTAACTTGCAGATATTGTAAAAGATACTAAATATTCATTTCACAGTAATAGATTAAGATGTAAAAGACACAGCAAATGCAATGGAATGGAGAAGTGAAGAGTTTCCTCATTAGTTTAAAAGTTTTGCTGCTAGTGAAATCGATGCTTGTGTACACCTTGAGTCTCCTAGTGCAACTAGCTAGACAGGCTAGATGGAACAGAACAAAAACATAAAAAAATTAAAGAAAACCGCATCATTCAATTGAACCTTCAAGAAAGAGGAGTATGAAAATAACAAGATTTTATAATGAGGAATAGAACAAACAATTACAGGCCAGAATTGCCACAAGATAACACCGACATAAAAATATATTGCCTTTTTTCATCCTCCATGACAATAAATGATATAGGGATCAAGTAGGATGGCTTCAGAATATAGAAATTAGGAATACCAAACACAAATCTTCAAATCAGATAAAAAGGAGTTCATGATGAAACTTCGAGGAAAACAAGAATGTGAAAAAATGTTGGAACTGAGAATAAAGATACCTTTGGTGCTCTCCTCAAGAAGAGACTCGTCGGTTCTCCTAAATCCTGATAGATACGAAAATGAGTAATATCAATAGTTGGTTCACTTGAAAACGGGCTAAGGAGAAAGATTATCAAGTTTTGGTGGCGATAGTTTTATCATACCCTCAAGTATCGCCTTTTTGGCTGCTTTAACATCCAACTGCAAATTCATTCAAAGAATGACAATGATATTAAAGCACAGAGAAGAAAAAACAAATATTAAATAGTCCACTACTAGCGACAGAAATATGCAACAAATGAGATGCGAACAATAGTCACCACAAAAAATTTAAACTATCACTAATAAGACTAAGCAAACACACCAACTCACGTGGTAAGCCTGCAGATAGAACATTGGCATGTAAATGCTTCTGGGCATACTCAGCAGCTAATCGACCTCCGTGTCCATCATATATTGCAAAATGAGCACATCTATAAAGGATTATAACATAGTCAGAAAAATTCCAAACATTTTAGAAGGAAACGACAGGAGATTTCAAAAATATAAATTAATTTGCAGAATATCCTAAATTTGTCTCTTTCTTTCCTTTTTTCACTTTTCTTCAAGCAATGAATTCTATTAAATCAATCTTCTCCATATAAGAACAGCAGAATAGAAGGCAAAAAACTAATTACTCTGTAATAACGTAATACAACTTCTTCATCTTCCACATTAATCAGCTAACCACTAATTCAGAGTAATCAACCCTAGCTACATTAAGCTAATAGATATGTAAAATACACAAATTCCTCGGGGGAAGGGGAATAAACGAGCGTTAGTGAAAAACCTCAATTTCCCGGGAAATTCGAGGCTAGCATCAGGAAGAACAACGGAAGCGTCCTCCATGGTATGCCTTGAACCCTTATCCTCAGCAACATCAGCTTCTATTTCAAAATATAATTCACTTCCATTTTTCGAGTCATTTTGGACGGAGATTTCAGCCTTTGGCTCCTCTTGCGTGTCGTTTCTCAATTTCTTGATCACGGAATCGGAGTTATCAAAATGGCCTTCGCGTTTGTTATTTGCGGTACTGACGCTCTGTTTATCAATTGATGCTGAATTGGAACGTTCCGCCATTTTTTAGCAGCTAACCAGATGAACCCGAATCGAGTAGAACAGTAAATCACGAGACTGAGAATGAACCTTGTGGTCTAGGATAAATTGAAGGCAAAAACGACTGTGCGACTGAAAACGAGGACGAATCCACAAACAGGCAAATACATGGACTTTGCTAGGTTGAAAGTTTTCTTTCCTTTTTTAATTATTTTAATTTATTTTCTGTTTACGATTAAACTTATAAGTGATTTTAAGCATACGTAATTTTACTAAAAACTGAAAAATATGAGAATGAATACTAGAAATTAACTGAAAAATAAAGCAAACCAATATGATGAGCGACTATGGCCTTCAAGCTAGATCGCCCTCAAACAACAGAGTATGCTAAAAAGTTTACTGAACAACAAAGCTTAAGAGAGAAAAATATAGTATATTGCTTGATTATGCGTGAATATATGATGATTACAAAATGATTAGGACCCTCTTTATAAAGTAGAGTGATCCTATTTGTGGTATAATTCTAATTACATAAGCAAATCCCATGATAGGTTAAATAACCGGTCCTGACTAGATACGTGCCGAGATTTTCGCCGCGATCCTTGACCGATCACGGATATCTCGGCTTTCTATTATTCGAACTAGCTGGCTTCCTTCGATCTCGCTCGATCTCTTCCTTGCTTCGGTCTCGACCACGGCTGGTCTCGATCTTGATCTTGATCGGCCATTGATCCACGAGCTTAATGATCCATCTCCGTACCATGGTCCGATATAACCGAGGCCGAGCCTTGATCTGCCACACTGATTTCGGTTAGTCATACAAAATTAGGCAAACCCGATTTTGACTGTATATAGATAGTCCCCTCATTTTTTGAAGTGCAATAACAAGAAACGAATTGAGTCTTTCCCCTCGGTTTATCATGACGTAGCATCGTGGCGTAAGCGGAAGAGGTGACTGAAACATCTCGTCAGTACAGTTCTCTAGGCATTTAACGCTTGTCAGTCGATGGTCGGCCATCACTGGCACTTAATCGTCGTCTTCAACCAATAAATTCATCTTTCTTCATCTTTCAAACTTTACTCACAAATCTTCTTCCCTCTAATTTCCAAAATCTTTTCCTTCTTCAGAGCTCTATATTTCCAGATCTATGAATTTCCTTACTTGTTCCATCACAAAACACCAAGCGTTCTTCCTCCTTTTATTTCTTCCCCATCTACAAAATGGCTAAGACCTCAAAAACTGTCCCACATAAGGAAAACGCTTCCTTGTCAAAGTCTGCCAGCGACGTAGCCGTGGTGGAGCATCCTTTTGAGGACTTAGTTCCGACAAAATGCGCTACTGCAGCTAATTTCAAGGTGGAGAATACACCCTCGACAGCGGGTCGATGCGAACCGATGTCGAGGTACATATGTACGATTACAGAAGATCTCCTCGAAAAGGTGAAAGAAGAGTGCAACTGGGTAGAAAAAGATGTAGTAGTTCCTACCCCCGAGGAATCCATCACAACTCATGTGGAGGGGTATCTGAGTGTCTGCACTTACCTCTTCGCGATAGGTCCCTTAGACCCAATCATCGTCGCCTTTTGCAAGAGGTACGATGTCACACTTGGCCAAATCAATCCATCGTTCTGGAGGATCGTGATCCTCCTCCGATTTTTGCAAGCAAGATCGAGGGCATCATTTTACCCGCGATCACCTTATGTGTCTCTACAGCCCCCGGCTTAATCGTAGAGGCGTGATCAAACTTTACCGCCGAGCCACCAAGCCCCCGTTATCGAGCATAGACGGGGCACGAGATCGAGGTTGGATGGGAAGATTTATCCGAATAAAGACTTTGGACCTAATCCCTGTCGAAGACATGTCTTTCCCTGAAAAATGGAACATGAATCGTAAGTATTGCTTCGCCCTGAATATCTAACTTTGACGTTTTGTTTCTTATCTTCCTTCCTCATCCGAGCCTTTGTGTTGTAGTTGTGGCCGTCGTTCTGGAGGTGATCCCCGATCTCGAGCAATGGGTCAGGGACCTGGTGTCACAGAGGTCGTACTCAGAGTGTGCTTAGATCGAAATATCGAAGGGCCAATGGGAGGCCCGTAACCATGGTAATTTTTTCTTCTTAGAATGGTTTCCATTCGGACTTTGTATTGTATTTATTCATCTTTTTCCCTTTTGTAGGCCTAGGGAATGATGTACTAATGAGACTCCCCTCTGCCGAAGAAGAGACGCTTTTCCATCCACCTGTTCCGAAGCAGACCAAAGAGAAGAAGAGAAAAGGGGCTCCGAGCTGTCCGAGTTATCCAGGCCAGGAAAAGAAAAAACCGGCGAGGAGGCCTCGTAACCCCAAGGGTAACGTCAGCCGCTTAACCATGGAGTCAGTCAAACAGCTAAGGGACGAGTTTGAAGAGGATGACAAAGAAGAAGACTCCGAGCTAGTGACCCGTGCGCGAACTGGCACGGAAACTCAAAGGACTGTTGGGCCGGCGGGAGCTGAAACCGCTTTGCCTCATCTTGACGAAGCCCCCGAGTCAGAAAAAGCAGAAGGCACTTCACCTCGAGGTGAGAAGGCTTCCGAGGAGGCGCTCAAGGCCGGTGTAGAAACCATGCTCGATGCTTCTCGTGACGAAGGCGGATCCCCAAAAAATTTACTTGGGGCAATGGAGATTGGAGATGTCTCATCGTTGCCTTCGTTCTTTGATACGACGATCAAGGACGCTCAGGCGATGGAGACTCGCCATGGAGAAGAGGTCCGTGAAGCAGAAGACCTTTTCGGTGGCTATTTTGCTGAAGTGGAAGATGACACCGGACTGGGTGACTTGGACGTACTGAGGAAGAGCTCGAATGAGGCTTCCTCGAGCTTTAAACTGACCAACCAACTCTCGGCCCCTAGTGTTGATCCCAGGCATAAGTGGCCTCTTATTATCTTAGTCCCGGAGGATGCTCAAGTTTTCTCTGCCCCTGTAGGGGTGGCTAGATATCTCCGATGCTTGGCTACCGAAGAGGACCAAGCCAAGATGGATGAAGTGGAAGTTGCTTTCTTGTTCAACGAGGCCCAGCATGCTCTGAATCGGGTAAGTTCAAGGCCCATTGCATTATCTCTTTATGAATTTGAATTGTAGATATCTCTAACATTTTCTTCCTTTCTTGTAGGCTTCGGTGTTGCATCATGAGGCCTTTCTTCAAATCCGAGAGGAACACAAGGCCGAGGTCCAAGGCCTCACTGAGAAATGTGATACTTACAAGCTTCTTAGTGAGAAGCTTCATGTAGACTTGGTAGCGGCTCGAGATGAGCATGCTGAGATGGCTGGGCAAGTATGAGTTCTTCATGATAGTAAGGACGAATCAAAGTAACAACTAACGATCCAATTCTGCAGGTTCGACAGAGGCTCGAATAGATCAAGGGCCTCCAAGGGCAAATAGATAAAATATGAGCTGAGGCTAAAGAGTTCAAGGGGTGTGTGGACATTTTGGCTGCACAAAAGGAGGCCGTTCAAGGAGAGCTGGATTCGGCCGAGTCTCAACTTCGGTCTGCAATAGAGAGTGCCTCGGTTCAGGCAAAGAAAGTCGAGGAGCTCGAGTCTAGTTTAGCTAGTTTGGCCAAAGAGCTCGAGGTAGCCAAATCTGAGGCTGCCACAACCAATATTAAGGCCTAGGCTGGTGCGACCCAATACAAGGTCGATGCTGAAGACACCCTAGCGCAGGCCAAGAGCATGGTGAATCATGAAAAGTGGCAAGCTCGAAGAGAGGCCCTTGAGGGGGCCCGTGATCAAAGCTTCGATATATCTGCTGAAATTGAGGTTGACATGGCAGAGGAAACAAAGGCTCGGAAGCTAGCCTTTACCGAGGAGGACTCCGAAAGTTTGAGTGGATCTGGTGAAGAAGACTCTGAGGGCGAAGATGCTTCCTTCGACAAGGATCGTACTACTTAAGCTTTTCGATAGTTTTTTGAAGTTTTGTTGAGGTCGTTCCGGCCTCTGTAAAGAATTTCCATCAGGCTGTATTGCCTTTGTAAAAAGTTTTTGATGAATATAAAACTTCTTCCTTTTCATAGCTTATGAATCTGTTATCTTTTTTTTTTATTCCATGTAAGGGTCAAAATGCCTTAGCATAAGATCATGAAGTTGTGTTCGTAAGTCTAAGGTTTGGGGAAGGTAAGGCCCGATAATAAGCGTCGCCTTTAATCTTTTCTAATCGATGGACCCTGAATGATAACTCGAACTTGGGTCTACGTAGCCCTTAAGCTTAATGATCGAGTGAGGACTTGTTCGAACTCAGAATTAGGTAGCCCTTAGGATTTCTAGTCGAGTGAGATCTCTCGAACTCGAAGTGAAAGTAGCCCTTAGGCCTTTGTAATTTTTGTATTTGGCCGATCTGGCCTTTGTAAAATGATCGTTTATATACATAAGGCTTTTCTCCTCTTTTCGGCTTTTAAAGTTTTTCCCTTCGTTTATCATCCATGTTCACAAAAGGTTGTAATGCCTTAGAATGAAATAAGGAACTATTCGAGAGTTCGAACAATTTTGTACTCTTTAGAGCTTTCGAGGCTTGATATTATCGAAGCCTTTTATGTTTTCGTCGGGAGTAGCCCTTTTAACCGCTTTATGAAAGAATTTGAAGGCCTATTTTGTTACGGAATTCGGACGTCTTCGAGCCATGTTAATATGGTCGTAGCCTCTTTAGTTTGAAACTTGCCCTTGGGCTTATTTTCCTATTTTACTTCGAGCTTGCCCAAAGTATCAGTCCCCGAGTTGGGTGGTCGTGGCCTATAAAAATCGAGAATTACCTACAAGGCCTTATGATCTCGAAGTTTTAACAATTTGATCTCGTTTATTCTTCGGACAGTAGTCCCCGATCGTGGGGGTAATTATCCGAACTCTGGTTATGATCGGCCCTTAGGCCTGTTTACATAATAGATCAAGAGTATGAAATTGTAAAGTAGAAGAACTTTTCTAAGGCATGAGATAATAGCAAGGAAAAATACTTCTCTTTATAACTGATTATATATGCGTATATGTTCAATGCCAGGGCTCGAGCAAACTACGCGGGCACGGTTCGTTTAACCATTTGTCCCTTACAAATTTTCCTATCGAGACCTTGATGCCATGAAGTAATTTCCTCGCAACAAAGTTAACAGTCGAGGGTAATGCCCCCCCCCCACCCCCAATATTCGAGGTTG